ACCACCTTCTAGTGGAAGCAATCCCTGGGCTCCCGAGGGCCAGTGCCCAGTGGAGGGAGGCTGCCCACCTCCCACCCATCTGCAGGGCCGCCCGCCCCTGCAGCCAGAGAACACAGGACTCCTTGCACCGAGGGAAATAGCCACAGACGTCTCCTCCCCCCTCCTGCAGATGTGGCCTTCCTACACACCCAATGACAAGGAGCTCCCTCCCCAGCCTCAGAATGGCCCTCCTTTACAGAGGGGTAAACCCAGGCTCTGAGTGGGGAAGTGACAAGGCCCAGGGTCACACAGCTGGTCAGAGGTGGGGCTGGGACCCAACTCCCATGAGCTGTCAGAAGCCTTCTGGGCCTTATCTGCGGGGGGGGGGGTTGGGAACACAGGGAGGCCGCACAGGACTGCTCCCTTTGGACCTGGGGCAGCCTGGGACCTAGCTACTTTCCCCGGGGTCCAGCTTCTCCACCACCATGTTGAGCCCTGTGGACTCAGACTGGGCCCCACCTCAGGGCTCCCAAAACAGGAGCCTTGACAGGGACCCAAACCAGCACTGGAGATAAATCTGTGTTCTCAGCCCCAGAGTCAATACCATGACAACCATAACAACAACACGAAGGGCGGGTAACACTGAGTTGCCCTGTGCCAGGCGCTCAGCAGACGCGCTTCCCAGTTAAACACATGAGCCCCACGATGCAGGACGATGAATAGGCCCCTTGTACAGAGGAGGAAACTGAGGCTCAGGAAGGTGACGTCACTTGCCTAAGGCCTCCGAGAGGGCAAAGAGCTAATTCATTTTCCCACCGGGCCCTCTGCACTCCTGACACCTGGCTTCCCACAAAGGGTTATTTTAAGGGCAGTTTTTAAAGTGAAGTTTTCTAGGGAAGCCACGCTATCGTGCAGATAAGATGTATTTGGCCATTATTTGCCCTTGGTGGTGTCCCAGCCTTGAGACTTTAAAAACGATGAGAAAACAGTTATTTTTTATCTACACTTGTGCTTTTCCGGCAGCTTCAGGCTATGTTTGGAATAAAATGCTTACTCCTCATGGTTGCCTCTGCCCTCACACACTCCCCCATGGTCCATCTCCCCTTTCTGCTCCCCCAAACTGGCCTTGTCTGTTATTCTTTCTTCAAAACATATGAATCACTTTCCCATGTCAGGTTTTGCCCATGCTGTTCTCACTGCTGGTACACCCAGAGATTCTTAGCTCAGGTTTAACGCCTCAGTCCAAAGTCACCTGCTCAAGACTCAGATGAGACTTTGCTATTTAGCCTGAGGTGCTGGCGTGGGACAGACACCTGGCGGATGGGACGGAAGTCCACAGAGGGACACGGGCTTGGGCTGGAGCAGCACTTCAGCAAATAGCACTGGACCAGGCAGAGTTGGGACCCGCCCTCACACCTAACACAGCTGATTTGGGGTGGATGGTGGTACAAAATGGGGAGGCCCACACCATAAGCTTCTAGAAGACAAGACAAGAAAGAAATTCATGACCTGAGCAGGCAAAGGTTTCTTAAAGAGGACACAAAGTCCTAGCTGGTTTGGCTCCATGGATAGAGCATCTGCCTGTAGACTGAAGGGTCCCAGGTTCGATTCTGATCAAGGGCACATGCCCAGGTTGTGGGCTCAATCCCCATGAGGGAGTGTGCAGGAGGCAGCCAATCAATAATTCCTTCTCGTTATTGCCAAAACCGGTTTGGCTCAGTGGATAGAGCGTCGGCCTGAGGACTGAAAGGTCCTGGGTTTGATTCCGGTCAAGGGCATGTACCTGTGTTGCGGGCACATCCCCAGTAGGAGATGTGCAAGAGGCAACTGATCAATATTCTCTCCCATTGATGTTTCTAACTCTCTATCCCTTTCCTTTCCTCTCTGTAAAAAAATCAATAAAATATATATTAAAAAAAAAAAAATTTTTTAATTCCTTCTCGTTATTGATGTTTCTTTCTCTCCTCCCCCCCTCCATCCTCTCTGAAATCAATAAAAAATACTTTTTAAAAATAAAATATAAATGGGACATAAAAATCATTAATCATAAAGGAAATTGATAAACTTCACTACATTAAAATTAAGAACTTATATTAATGAGACAGTTTCATTAAAGGGGTAAAAAGGCAATCACTCATACAACTTAACAAAGGGAAGATTAACCCAATCAAACAATACGCAACGGACCTAAATAGAAACTTTTCGAAAGAGGACAGAAGGCAGGCCTAGAGACATGAAAACATGCCCAAAGTCACTAATTATACGAGAGATTCAAATCAGAACGACAATGCAGTACCATCTCACAACTGTCAGAATGGCTATCATCAACAAATCAACAAACAACGAGATGCGGAGAAAAAGGAACCCTCTGCACTGCCGGTGGGAATGCAGACTGGTGCAGCCACTGTGGAGAACAGCATGGAGTTACCTTAAAAAACTAAAAACGATCTCCCATTCAACCCAGTGATCCGCTTCTAGGATATATCCCAAGAAAACAGAAACACCAATCAGAAAGGATATATGCACCATTATGATCATAGCAGCATGATTTACCATAGCTAAGATTTGGAAACAACCTAAATGCCCATCAGCAGATGAGTGGATTAAAAACTGTGGTACTTTATAACATGGAATACTACGTGCTGCAAAAAGGAACTCCTACCATTTGCAATAGCATAGATGGGCCTGGAGAGCATTATGCTAAGCGAAATAAGTCAGTCAGAGAAAGACAAATATCACATGATCTCACTCATTTGTGGACTCTAATGAACAATAAAAACCGATGAACAAAAACAGATCCAGAGACAGAGAAGCATCGATCAGATGGTCAAACCTCAGAGGGAAGATAAAGGAGGGGAGGGATGAGGGGGGGAGATCAACCAAAGGACTTGTGTGCATGCATATGAGCCTGACCAATGGAATCAGACACCAGAGGGGTGAGGGCATGAGCCGGGGGCGGTGGGCAATGAGAAAATAAGGACACATATGTAATTCCTTAAACAATAAAGAGGGAAAGAAGGAAAGAAAAAAAAAAAGCAACCAACCCACATATCGGAGAAGATATTTACAATACAAAGGAAATATATCCAGAATATATATAAAAACTCTTACAAATCAATAAGATAGACAACTCAATCAAAACGTGCCTCATGAATCCAATCCAATGCCCACTGACCATGAGAAGGTGCTTAATCTCTGAGACATCAGGCAGAGGCAAAGGAAAGCCGCAGTGAGACGCCAGGCATGGCCACTGGAAGGGCTGAAATGAAACGCACGGTTTAAAATTTTCTTACCAAGTTAAACCCGCACTGACCGTGTGACCTGGCACGCCCCCTGCTAGGACTCTCTCGGAGAAATGCAAACCTCTGTCCACACAAAGAGCTACCTGAGCTTTTACAACAGCATTGTATGTTAAAGTCCCTAAGTGGAAATGACCCAAATATCCATCAATGGGTGAAAGAGTAACTAAAGAAAATACCACTCAGCGGTGCAAAGAAACCACCCACGGAGAACATGGACCATCTCTCACACATTATGCTGAGTAAAGAAGCCAGACATCAAAGGCAGCATGCCGAGGATTCCACTCACAGGAAGTTCAAGAACAGAGAACTGTAGTCCGGGGCAGGCGTCCGTGTGGCTGGCTGACAGAGGGAGACACACTCACTCACACACTAAGGTGCACATCCCACACTTGGGATTCGTTGACCACACCCCGTCCCAACCACCAAGTTAGGGCCCCTCTGTTATCCTCACTGCGGCCACACCGCTCTGCCTCTAGGACACAGCAACTCGTCACACCTGAGAAGAGACAGCACAGGAGTGGGAACACAGACCCTACGCCATACTGCACAGGTGGAATTCAGGTGGTTACAAAGGGAAAAGGCACAACTGTTAAAACCTGAAAGAAAACAAGACATCCACAAAGTATGGGGGTGCAAAGGAATTCCATCATAGTTTTGAAACCCTAGAAAACCTCAAGTTTTTTCATAGTCAGTTTGTGACAGGGCCTTTTTCTTTTTTTCTTTTATTGATTTTTAACAGAGAGAAAGGAAGAGGGATAGTCAGAAACATCGATGAGAGGGAAACATCGACCAGCTGCCTCTTGCACACCCCCCACCGGGGATGTGCCCGCAACCAAGGTACATGCCCTTGACCGGAATCAAACCCGGATCCCTTCAGTCCGCAGGCCGACGCTCTATCCACTGAGCCAAACCGGCTTCGGCAGTGTCAGGGCCTTTTAAAATATATATATATATATATATATTTATTGATTTCCGAGAAGAAGGAAGAGGGAGAGTAACATCAGTGATGAAAGAGAATCACACTGGGGACGGAGCGCCCTGATGGACCTGAACTGTGCCCTCCAGGCCCGCGGGTCCATGCTCACCAGGAGCCCGCCGCCCTGACAGGCCTTCAAGGCCCCGAACTAGCCGGCCACATCGGGTGTCCCTGGACCGTCTACCAACCGCTCCTGGAGCCCCTCGGAGCCCTGGGATCACCAACAAACAAGAGAACCTGAGAAACCGGCCCAAGACCTGCCGGCGGAATCTAACACAGTCTCACAGTGCGATGGGGCGGAAACGGCACATCAGGGGGAAATAGCAAAATCCGAAGACACCTCAAAGCGTCGTTAACAGTAATGACCGATGTGGGCTCCTTATGGGAGAATAAACCATCTTTTCTGTCCAACAAGGGAGTCCAGGCGGCCGCCATTTTGGCCGTGTGACGTGCAGCTCACACGGGGCCGCCATTTTGAAACTGCAAATGTCAACCCTTCCTTTGAAGGAGCCCAAACCCAAAGCACAAGACTGCAGCTTCGGCCCGGCTCTCCGGCGGGGCGAGGGCCGCCACCGCGGGGCGCCGGCTCTGAGCTCCTTCCTCAGAAGCTGTGCCCCCCGGGGCCCGGGCTGGGGCTGCCCTATTTCTAAGAAGCCGCTGTGGCGAAGGCACGCCGCCGGATGACCCGAAAGGAAAGGCTCCCTGGTGAAGGGTGCCACGTCCCTCGCACAGCACAGCCTTACCTTGGGCGGGTCGAAGAGCTCCAGGCCGCGGTCCGCGCCGCCGGGGCCCCGGGCGCGCAGGGCCAGGCGCCCGCGCTGCCAGCGCGCCCCGCTGTCCATGGCGGCCTCGTCGGCCAGGCTGTAGCGCAGCACGGCCTCCTTGAGGACCTCGAGCGGCGGCTCCCGGGCCAGGCCCCAGGGCAGGAGCTTCCGGGCCAGGCTGGGCTTGGCCCGGGCCTCCCCCGCGGCCCCGGCCGCCGGCAGCTCCCCCGCCGAGCGGCGGCGGATGATGTGGCGGAGGCTGTGGCGCAGGTGCTGGAGGGCGCAGGGCGCCGGCCGCGGCGGCGCCAGCTCCTCGGAGCTGCGGGCCTTGGGCAGGGCGGGGGCGGGGGCGGCGGGGCCGGGGGCGGGCTCGGCGGGAGGCGCCTCGGCCTTGGCCGGGGGCCCGCGGCCCGCCTCCCGGTAGTCCCGGGCCGGCGGCCCCGGCGCCCGGCCCTGGCGCACCTCGCGGCAGAAGTAGCGCTGGAAGAGGTCGGTGAACTGCAGCGACACGAGCTCGGCGCGCAGCGGCGCGTGCTGCGGGTGCTCCCGGACGAAGAGCCAGTACTGCCGCGCCAGCTCCCGCGCCGTGGCCGCCGCGTGCAGCTCGCAGAACTCGCTCCAGCCCCGCGGGGCCGCGGCTGCGGACGGGGCGGCGGAGGGCGCGGAGGAGGGCTGCAGGGCGGGCCCGTTCATGGCGGTGACGGGGGTGGAGTGGCCAGGCTGAAAGACACAGGGGACAGGCAACAAGCAGTGAGCAGGCAGGTGAGGAGGGGCCGCTAACCCCGCCGCCGCGGCTTTCCTTCGCCGGGCGGCCCACGCGGGACCAAACGGACTTCCTGGTTCGCAGTCACACACGGTGTTAGCGCCCCGGCCCTTTAAAGAGAGGGCCTGTTAGGCCAGACGGCTAAGTAGGAAAGACAACCGTCCTGAGCCCCGAGTTTTGCAAGTTTTTATCCATCACGTGTGGGTGTGGGTGTGGGTGGGGTGAGGGGTTAAGCCCATCTGAAAGGATTTACATTAGCTACAGCCAGAGGGGATGGGGAAGTGATGCAAGCACACCCCCACCCACACCCACCGGGTTGGCTCCGGGTAGCACATTAGAAACTTCATGTGTAAATGAGAAGCGGTAATCTCGGAAATGGCCACTTGAAAATTAATCCTAAATTTCAACAGTCACACGGGAATGAATTGAGCAGTCTGTCCTCAGAGCTGGCCCACAGCTGTAACTGCTCTGCCTCACTCTCAAATTGTGTCATTTTAACTTAGATTTTTTTTTTTTTTTTTTTTTTTTTTTTTTTTTTTTTACTGTCACAACCTACACGCCCATCAGTCAGAGTGGGTGACCCGGCAGCTGGAATGTTCTGCAGCCGCGGGGAAGGATGTGGAAGATCCACACCGCCACACAGGAGACGTCTCCAAGGTACACCGGGAAGCAAACAAAGCGAACCACAGAACAATACAAACTGGGATCCTGTTTACACACACACAAAACCGGGCTGCCCGTTTCCGGAGTGTGAGTGAGCGTTGGGCAAGAAAGGTGCGGCTGGAGCAAACCGGTCCAGAAACAGCGGTGACCTCTGGGGAGTAGGGGGCACGTACTGCAGGAAGAATTACTGCTTGTCTCCAGGAATGTGGTTAAGAGCACAGGGACCGTTCGATAGATGCCCTGTATGCCACTGTTTCCGAGTTGCCTAGCAAGAATTTTCCTCCACGTACTTCTGGCTCTTCCTGACATCTGTAAACCACCCCTTCTCACTTAGGAGATACAGGACCCACCTCCCTTTTCCTTTGTCAAAAAATGTCTTACAGAGCCAGTGTTGCCTCACTGTCTTAGGAATTCATGCTTATGTGAACTCCCCAGGAGCATGAATTCATACTTTGATTTTCTTCTGTTTAAAAAAAAAAAAAGGGGGGGGGGGAAAGAAACACAAAGCCTGAGTTCAAATCCCAGCACCACCACTTACTAGTTGTGTGATCTTGGGTGAGTTCTTTGCTTTCTCTCTACCTTAGTTTCTTCACCTGTAAAATGGGGACCATGATTATACCTATCTCATAGGAGTGCATGAGGATTGAGTTAATTAATGGAAAGGCCTCAGAAACAAAGAAAAGCTTACTTAATAAGGGTTGGCTGCTTTTATTGTTATTTAAATGTTAGAGTGTATTGTTGTCAATAAAAACAAATATTAAAAAAGGAATAAAAAGGAATAAATTGACTATACTCACAAGAGGTGCAAACATATTTCCTCTCTGGTGGAGGAATGTCAGGACAGCCAACCCTCGCCCACCCATCCCAGCTGGGCCTCCTTCCAGCCCACCTCTATGTCCCTCCCCGGGCACCTCACCTCGCCATCACAAGGCAGTAGCCCCCCAACCCTCTGCTGTCCGAGGTGCTGAACCCTGGAGCTCTCGTTACCATCAGGACTGGCTTTCCAACTAAACTAGGCTGGGCTCAGGCCCCCACTGGGGACACAAAATCATGGCTGCTCGTTCACCTCCCCAAAATGTGTTATTGAGGTACTACTATGTGCCAGGCACTGTGGTAGGCCTTGGCGATACAACAGTAAACCAGACAGAAATGCCTGTTTTCCTAGGGTTACTTGACACACCCATGCTCACATACATACACACGTATGTACTGGTTGTGTGTCCTCTGACACCTGACTCAAGTCTGTCACACTGGGAGCAGAATGGTATCGACCACATACGGTGGTTGTAAAGAGTCCTTGAAAACGGGTCTCAAATTTCAAATGGAGATTGGAACCCCAAAAATGGATTCTTTCACCCCACCATCTCCAGGCCCCGGTGGTGACCCTGGAGCTGATCAAGCAGAACACCCCAGCCGGGAGGGTACTGTGCACACAGCTGACATTTTTGCACATCACAGTGTCCTGGGCACCTTTGCACACAGTAGGTAATCAGTAAAAGCAGCAGGGCAGAGGGGGGGGAAGAGCCACGTGCCCTTGGTCACCTGTCCTCCCGGGGCCAAACCCTGCAGTTGTGTCCACTCCAAGCTGTGTCCCTGCCCAGGCGATGGCAGGCCACGGCCCCCATTCCAATTTCTCCATAAGAGTGGCGTGTACTAAGGGAGCCCTTGCTACCCCTCACACATTTTTCTAACTACCCTTGCAAAACATTAACTCTCCCACGCTTCATGACAATACTTGGAGTTATTGCCAATAACTGCTCCCATTGTATAGATGGAGAGACTTAACACACAGAGGTCCCACAGCTAAGGATAAAACCCTGCGCCAAAATGCCCGGTGGGTGCCAAATGCACCCCATAAAGACTTGCTTCTGCCCTGATCGGTTTGGTTCAGTGGGTAGAGCATTGGCTCCCAGGTTCGATTCCGGTCAAGGGCATGTACCTTGGTTTGCGGGCACATCCCTGGTGGGGGGTGTGCAAGAGGCAGCTGGTCGATGTTTCTCTCTCATCGACATTTCTAGCTCTCTATCCCTCTCTCTTCCTCTCTGTAAAAAATCAATAAAATATATATATTTTTTTAAAAAGAAAGAAAAAGAAAAATAGCCACAGTTGAAAATAAAAAAACAAAAATAAGAAAAGGTACTAGCCTGGCTGAATGGCTCAGTGGTTAAGCGTCAACCTATGAACCAGGAGGTCACAGGTTCCATTCCCAGTCAAGGCACATGCCAGGGCTGAGGGCTCAATCCTCAGTAGGGAGCATGCAGGAGACAGCCAATCAATGATTCTCATCATTGATGTTTCTTTCTCTCCCTCTCCCTTCCTCTCTGAAATATACACAAAGTGGCCAGATTATTATGATCTCTGAACGCATAAGCTGGCCACTCAGAGTGCGTGTGTGTGTGCATGTGTGTGTGTGTGTTAGAGGCCCGGTGCATGAATTCGTGCATGGGTGGGTCCAGCCAGTTTAGCCAGGGGGAGGGGACGTGGGCAGTTGGCTGGCCTGCCTGCTAGACAAACTCCTAGTCAAGGGGACAATTTGCATATTAGCCTTTTATTATATAGGTTATACACTGAGATTATTATGCGTTCAGAGATAATAATCAGGCCACTCAGTGTATACATGTACACACACAAATACAGGTGCACAAAATTCGTGGAGGGGGTTGTCCCTCAGCCCAGCCTGCACCCTCTCCCATCTGGGACCCCTCAGGGGATGTCTGACTGCTGGTTGAGACCCGATACCTGTAGGATTGGGCCTAAATCGGCAGTTAGACATCCCTCTTGCAATCCGGGACTGCTGGCTCCTAACCAGTCACCTGCCTGCCTGCCAGATGGCCCCTAACTACTTTGCCTGTCAGCCTGCTCACCCCCAACTGCCCTCCCTGCTGGCCTGATCGCCTCAATTGTCCCCAACTGCCAGCCTGCTCTCCCTCAACTGTCCTCCTCCCCCTGCCCAGCCTGAAAACCCCCAACTCTCCTCCCCTCCTGGCCTGATCGCCTCTAACTGCCTCTGCCTCAGCCCTGTCACCATGGCTTTGTCCAGAAGGTCTCCCAGTCTAATTTGCATATTACCCTTTTATTAGTATAATTTTTTACTTTTATTTGTTTTTTAAAAATATATGTTATTGATTTTTTACAGAGAGGAAGAGAAAGGGATAGAGAGTTAGAAACGTCGATGAGAGAGAATCATCGATCAGCTGCCTCTTGCATACCCCCCACCGGGGATGTGCCCATAACCAAGATACATGCCCTTGACCGGAATCGAACCGGGACCCTTCAGTTCGCAGGCCGACACTCCATTGAGCCAAACCGGTTTCGGCAACAATTTTTTATTTTAAAAAGGATACTAGTTCATGCTGTGTGTCCTGTTCTATTCCTAACATTTTGCATTTATCACTTGTTTATTCCCTTTTGGAGGGGGAGTCCCAACATTATGCCCATTTTATAGTTGAGAAAACGAGGTGTTAGAGGTGTGGTTTGCCAGGGTCACAGGGAGTGAGAGGCAGAGCTGGGAGGCCTGGCTAGAGCAGGTACTCTAGAAATACCAGCTGTATGCATTAATGAACCGCTGCGGTTGAGATGGGCTGCCAAACCACACTCTAGTCATCCCCTCCCAGAAGGACGGATAGAAAAGGCAGTGGGTCTTCACTGGAGACTGCCCCCTACCCCCAGATGACCTCTCCATGGTGGAGCTACCGTTCAAACCTCAAGTCACCTCTGCGCTGGGAAATGCAGAAGGGGCTTTCCACTCTGAGCCTCAGTGTGCCCATCTGTAAAATGGGCTGGTGTTCTCTTGGCATTCGCTAGGAGTATTCTAGGGACTGAAGTCTGTGGGGTGCTTGGCACAGGGTTCAAGAAACAAGCGGCTGTTACCATTTTATTACTACTATTGTTAGAAAATAAACGTGACAGCTCCAGAGAAGGTCAGGCCTGCCTGCCACGAGAAGCCCCAGGGAGAGTCTGGCCGGCTGGGCTGGACAGGGGCATCACAGGAACTGAACAAAAGGCCTTCTCAGGGGAGAAGAGGCTGCTCCAGTCAGGAAATGGCCAGCTGGAGCGCTCAGCTGTGGCCCGAACCAGGGTGGGGGTGGTGCTGGGGAGGCTTCCTGGCCCTGTGGGGAGCCAGGCCGCAGGAAGGTGGTCTCCTTCTGGGGCTCAGCCCAGCTGGTAGCCGTTTATTACACACTTACTATGTGCTAGGCATGGAGGATGAGCAACTGATTAGATATGCCAACCCGGGGATCAGGGGCTAAAAAGCTCTTGGTAAAAA